ATGAGCACAACAACGAACTCTACCCTGAGAGACGCCCTCATCCACTATGTACAACGGAGAGTGTAGGTCGGATCCGTACTTTATCGAGTATACAAAATTAAAATACATTTTATTTATAGTTGTGGCCAATAATTTTTACATTGCTGATAATAATGGTGATGAATCGGTACGTTTCGTCTAGTCATGAAACAAAGTGATAAGTCACGTTGGTATTAAAAAAAGTTTAATACTTTAAAATAATTCAACACAGGTCAATACTTAAGAAAACACATTTCTGAATAAACTTGAGCTTGGCTATGAAGGGATTGAATTTTGTATGAAATGTAGCACGGTTTGAGACTCAATCAATATATTTTTTGCTGCCGGGTGAAAGCATCATCTTCCCATAAATTGCAGTCTGAATGGAAGGTTGTTTCTTATTAGTAACAACACGTTGTTCCAATAAGCACCATTTCCCGTCTGATGTTAAATATCTTTCATTTCATTTCTATGATGTTTCATAGTGCACAAATTACGGCCCAACAGAAAAAATGTTTGTTTTGGAAGGTGGAATTGGCATTATGGTCCCTTTCGTAATCCTTTATAATGTTCAATATACTCTGAGTTGTAAACACGCTCGCCGGATATGGCAAGCTCAGCTGAGAGGTTATACTTTCAGCAAATATTCAACAACTCACATACATACGCTTCCCTCACGCAGATTTAAAAATAACCATGGGAAACCTTTTATGAAATGTAAGTTTATAAACTTCTTTACTTATTATTCACTAAATCAGTCCTGACTAAGACAACACGGTGCGAAAGACTCGGTATCCAACCAAAACTCGCAGAAGTATTTTTATATGGAAAAATGAACAAAAAATGTAGTACATAGTCAACCTGACATTACGGCAAATCATATCAAGCACATACCGTGTGAGTTTTTATAAAATTCATAGTCTTTTATTTTTATGCTGCTTATTTTATCTTAAAACTAAGTATGGTTCAAAAGGTAACCTTTCACGTAGAATCTGCTGGCGCTACTAGAATTTTAATAAGTTGGCGCATTATGCCGACTAGGTGATTAAATTGTTTTTCAAATGTAATGCACATACATCTTTTCACAAATGTTGAAAGTTTCTGTTGTTCTTAAAGTTCTCATGAAAGGTCAGGGTATCATTTGTTTTAGAATGACAACGAATTTCAAAATTTGCGAAAAAGTTCATCCTCAAAAATTGTCGAGAATATACAATTTTTAATTCGATGAATTTTTTCACACATTTTGTAAGTCCTTTTCATTCTAAAACAAACAAATAATAACAGAAGCTCAAAAATTCGTTAATACGATCAGGAGATATTGAAGTTTTAGTTCATAACTCGATAATTTCAATTTATAACAAAAAAAATTGATTGTACATAAAAAATAAATTTTTTGCATTGTATAAATTCACTTTTTTCCACATCCTACATGTATTTGTTAAATTTACACGATGTTTGTAAATCCCAGGCCCTGAAGATGATCTTAATAAAGATCGAAACGTTGGCACGATAAAGTAAATGTTTTTCTGAAACCTACATCACACCAGACCGCATCTCACGATTTCTGAATAATTATTTATTTATTTGTGTTGATTTTTTTTTCAATCCAAACTTTTCGAGAAAGAGCAAAAATAGTGGCTGGCTCCCCTCGGGATATGTGTAGTAGATAAAATCGTATAGTATCTCATTATGTAATGTATACAATTTGGTAATTAAATTAATAACATAAAAAAAGGCTAACTTCAGTTACATGATAAATGGAAACGATTGAGTTCTAAAGGAAAAAAGGAAAATTCAATATCTTCAAAACGAATCGAGGATTTTTTTAAATATAATAGAAAGAAATATTTCCTTCGGGGCGTGGACACGGCGGTCATCACTGTACAGTAAAGGTCTCTTTTTTTCAAAAACACCAGCACCCCGAGGGTTCATATAACCTCCTAGTTGAAATATCCTCGTTATAAAATAATAAAAAAATAAACTTACAAATTTGGTCAGTGAGTAAAAGTGATTTTATGCATATTTTATAGCATATTCTTATTAGACGAGAACAATGTGGAATGTCTAATGGGTGAAACCTTCCACCACAGGCGAGACACCCTTCGAATCTCAACATTTCAATGCGTCGCATTCCGAAAGGCCTTGTCGTAATTAGCTTCCCAATTGTAATTAACAAGGAATCTTGTTAAACTAAGAATTTTCCGGCCTGAAGTAGCCAGTTGAGCTATTGAGAATTCCTTTTGAGGGCTTCATAGAAAAGTACAGTTAACGAGGTACATCTTTTATACTGATTTTCAAAAATGGGCGAAAGAGAAGTTTAACGGGTTTTCCTTTCAAATTTCGATAAGGACAGATTTAGCAAAGTTTAAGAATATCTTCGGATTTCTGCCAGGAATTAGGAACAAAAGACCATCGAAATTTCGTTGAACATTGAGGGATGCGGCTTGAAGCATTTCTCGAATTATTCGCCTCTAATCTTTGGCCAGCAATCTCAACATTTCAAAGGCATATCCTCAAAAGTCTGTAATTTTGTTATTTTCTCTCTATTCTGTATGAATATCTTTCAGGGCTAAACTTGTGGCTCACCGTTTGAATTTTTCATATCAAAGAAAATCCAAAGAAACCCAGTTAAAATATTCTGAATTTTCTATTTTTGAAACCAATCCACGACCGACGAAAGCGAAATTCGGAAACGAACTAAAACAATACAAACCATAGCACACAATAACGGATACAACACAAACACAATCACAATTAGTAATTAAAATAGCATTGAAGACCTCGTACACAATCGGAAAAGTACTAACAAGGGGCCTAACTATGAGTCCCCCATGGCCCTCAGCTCGATAACCATCTATCAAGACGAATTGCTAGCCATAGAAACAAGTGTACAAGAAATAAATAAAAAAATCTCAAGGCTGCAACAATAATACTAGATAATAATAAATATCTAGACAGTTCTCTTTAAGGCATAGAGATCAACATTATAAAGGAATTTCAGGTAAGGAAGCAGACTCGAACAGGCGATATTAAATAAAACTGTCTAAGTGTGACGTACAACAATATAAAGTTAGTGAAACCGCAGAAAAAAAGCACAAAGTGGTCCAAGGCGGAATCAAACGGGACAAAAACCAGACAGGTTACACCACCGGAGTAGCTAGCTTTTTGCCCTCCTCTTTACCATAAGTTCAGGATTAAACCTCAAAATGACCTATGGCTCAACACCTGTGTCTTAATACTACGGTGGGTAGAGATGGGAAGTTAGTGTCCGCGTGGATCGACGTCACGATAGCTCAAGTGGTAGAGCAGCGGCGTATTCAGCCGAAGGTCGTGGTTCAAATCCTACTCGTGACACTGACTTTTTTATCTCAACCAATACCTTACATAAAGATTAATTAATTGAAAGTGGTTATTTGGACAATCGGACCACGAAATCTAATGGACTTAATACTAATGTTGACATTAGTCGGTGGTGTGGTGGACCCAAGACTTTGCAGGGAAAAGCGAATAAGTGGCACCCAAAGCCAAGCTTCCCTCAGTGTCACTGGAACCATCAGCCACGACGCCAGCTGCGGCCTTGGAGGTGTTGTAATAAAAACTTCCCACCAATCCATATTTTTATCCAATGAGAAGCCAGAGCAGTGGCTCGCAGACTCATAAATAAACAAACATCTACAATATAAGCGATACGATAGGCCATGTCAACAAACAACTGAAATTGAGGGAGGAGATACAGGCAGATCCCATATTAAGCATGCCAATCGATGCCTCTACTCCAAAACACAATTTTATTAAAATGTACAAGGTACTGACTGATACCGGAACGGGAAGATGGCAAACTCCTACTGGTACACTTGCGGCTCCAAAACCGACGAGGGCTGGAGTCGTTGGGATGAATCCAAAGACTGAACAGATTTTAAACTTAGACATATATGGTACAGTTTTTCAGTCTGAAATCATAGCAATCGCCTCTTTTACTTCCCTCCAATCCATATCCCTACAACTCCTGTCTATATCACAAGGTCTCTTACTGAAGGCAGGCTTTATGATTTCTTTTACGTATTATGTAATACATATCGAAAATATTTTTGTAATTGTACAGGAAATAAAAAATACATAATTATATGTTATAATTATATTTATTCGCTTCAAAAAGTACAATAGAAAAAAATGCATTTTATTGAAAATGGCTTCCTGTAATCTTGGGAAAAAATTATTTATTTCGTCGGCAATTTGGAAGGTTTATATAAAAAAGCATGCTTTCGTTATTGTCAAATTTAATTTTATTTATCACCATCAATAAATCTATTTACACGTCGTGTATAAATTTAAAATTATTATTATTTTTTAATTTGTACCCGTACAATTTATACGAACATACATAGAAAAATATGGCATTCCTGAAAAATACGTGGTTTTAATACTTCAATAATAACCTTTTTATATTTGTAATGATAACGAGAATGGAATGTCAAAAAAGGTAAACACGTACTTTAAACAATTGCCGATTTAATTTAGTTTTGATTAAGCGCACAACTAGCAATATCTACGTAATTCATAAAGCGACAGTAGTAAGTACATAATCTTTAAACTAAATTATTTACAACAATAGTGTACTGCGTTTAACACAGTAATTGCAATAAATTATTGACAAATATAACAATATGTACATAGATTGTAGACATATTTATATATAAAAAGCTTTTTTAATGATATTTGTATTACCTAAAAATGCTACAACATTTATATAAATATTAGAGGATAGAACACAAGAGGCTTTGTGCTTAATATCAATTTTCACAACTTGCTTCATTACTTTAAGACTAGATATTTAAAACATTTACACCCTGTTGAAGTCAGTCTATGAAAAGAAAATCGAAAAATATATTTATTTTTTATATATGTACAAACATTAAATAATTTTCTTTTTGGTTTATTTGTACAAGCATTTGCTATTTATTACTTTTTTAATGAGCAAGCAATATAATTTTGATTAATACTTAAATAATAAAACGAAATTAAAACAACAATCGTAACTAAGGAAAATAAAACTATCGGTGTATTGTTTCGTCAAAGGAACAAAATAGTTTAAAAGAAATTCTCAAGGAAAATTAACGAGAAAACGCTAGTGTGTATCAATAAAATTACAACCCTCTTCTTCCAAATCGTTATCACGTATTCCAACAACCGAAGGTCCTAAATTGTTTAGAGCCAAATTATTACCCTTGTGTTCGTTTCGTCGTTTCCTGATATAGTTGTAAGACACAGAAAGCACGATCGTGAGGAGGATGATGAGGCTGGCGATCGCGATCAATCCGTAGATAATGGCAGACTCCAACTCTTCATCCATTTTTGTGAGATCTGAAATTAAAATCAGACCTGTTAACAATTTAATGTATAATTAATTATTGACTATTAAAACCTTGACTATTATTTTGATGGAGTTGTGAATTTTACTTGCGGGGGCTAGAGATGATTTTAATCAAACTGTGATACTGTGAGGGTCGAAAAATATTAGACAGGTGTCTTGCGAATGGACCCTAGGAGCCGGCAAAAACATATTTTTACTAATTTCCAATTTTTTTAAAATCTGGTTTTCTGCTTTTGTTATCCATAAAAGTTTCTAGAATCACTCAATTTGTTTTCTTAACCTAGGATAAAGGAAATATTAATCAGGATTATAGTAAAAGAGATTAGCTATACAAAAAGCAATAAAAAAGAGGATTTCATTTTCAATAATCTCCGGTGTTCCACTTAAAAATTCATAAATTTTCGTGATTTTATCCAATTTTAATGTAATAAATATCGTTGGAAAGGTGGAAATAAAATGCAGCTTTACAACGGTTGAAATATCGTGAACAATGGACGAAATCCATAAGAGAATGAACGTAATGTAAATTATGATTTTTTTTTAGTGGAACACCAAACATCTGACAAAAAAGAAATGTCCCCGGCTGATGGTGCACAAAAATATCTAATTTTTTGAAAGGCTGATGAACACTGCGGATCAAGGTATAGTCTTGAAGAAAAAGCATAATCAGCTGTTAATGCCACCATTTTGCCCTATTTCACGGTCATCATCCAGGCGAAACAAGCGTTACAAGACTGTTGCAGTCCTTGGCAATGTGTGGGCTGAGTAAGTCTTAAGAAAATTTGAGATCGCCTGTAAAAAAACTTAAATATGTACATCTGCTGTCATATTTAAGATTGTTTTGCCTTGATGATGATCTTAAAATAGGTCGAAAGTTTGGCAATAACAATTGAATTTGCTGTTTTTCTTCAGGACCATACCTTGATCCAGTGTTCGCGAGTGAAAAAGTAGTCGATATTTCTAATACTGATAATTATTATTGTTAGGGCCACATTGGCAAGACACTTTCATGTTTATAAGAATATATTTCGACCTAGTATCACAAAAACAGTTTCATTGATATCGGTGATCCCATGTTCGTAGCCTCCCCTCGTATGATAAATAATTAATAATACATTCATGATTTAAAAAAATAGTTGTATAGTTCGTAGTGTCCCCTCGTAAGACAAATGTACCTTGCTCCTGTGCACTGGCTTCTTTCGCAGGGAAGCGTACACCGTTGATGACATAAGGAGGCTGGGAAAGTCCGTAAACATTTTTAGCGTATACTTCCAATTTGTAATCCCGGTTTGGCTTCAGTTTGTCCAGATTAAAAGATGGAAACTGACTGAGCATGCGGTACAAAGGGGGACCAAGCGCTTCATCCCCCATCAGACCAAGTCCACCTTGCCCACCGGCTTCGATTTCATTTACTTCCACCACATAATGGTGCTCCGCTGTCGAATCTTCATTGCCGCCTGGGATGCAAACGAGACGTAGTTTGTTGGTGACGTTATTGTGAACCACTTCACAATCCGAAGGCGCAGGTGGTAAACCTGTAAAGCAAATAATTTTTTCTCTGTAAAAACATGTATTCACCGGATTAAATGGATGGAGGCAACACATGCAGTATAAGGATGGAAATTGTTCCATGGAATGTCTACATAAAATTCATTTCCAGTCAGATGGCGGATCTTTATTTATGCTTCAATATACTTTATGGATGATGTAATTCGGTGAATTCAATTCTCTTTACGTTCAAAATAAGCCATACCTCAGTACCAGGCATTAATATTACAACAAAGAAAGAACATAAACTCTAATCAATGGCAAAACAAGTTAATTATGTAAAATTTATTTTCTTGCCCGACCGATTTGTATTACGAAAAAAATCTATATAATACGTTGACGAATTCATCTATATCTGAAGGTGAATGGTCGGGTGAGGCACATGGCAATTTCTCCCAGCCAACTTATCCCATCGGAATAACTTTTACAGAAAACAGCATTATGCTTCTCGATTCCCGTTCGCGGCATCTCCTGAAGTTATCTTACGTTCTTCTGCAAAACTGAACTGGAAAGTAGTTACCAATTTAAAAAAAAAATCGCTTCATCATTCATAGATTAATAAAGAAAATATCTGTGATACCCAAAACATTGAACTATGTTAGAAGAGCCTCCTTCAAAAAAAAAAAAAAAAAAAAAATTGACTACAGACAAATGTTGAAATATAACCCTTGGAATATTTGGTATTTATTTCATGTGCACATGTTTCTATAAGTTATTAGCTGGAAAATGGTTGTGGTAGAGCTGAGGGTCATGTGGTACTCATTAGGCCTCTTTGTGCTCATACAATAAAATTCCCCAACTTTGTGCTATCTGTATATCATACAAGGGCTCCAGGTTTTCTTGTTTTGTTTTATTTTGCTCTATTTTCAATGTGTTGTATTTTCTCTCATAAGACAGAGATAGTAGTCTAGCAGTAGCCATGTTAGTATACAATACAATTGCTTCACAGTTGTTCAAAATGCCAAATGTGACATAACAGGAAGTGTTTTGTTTTGTAAATAAATGTAATTATCTAACTATATATAAGAATGACTTATTTCTCTGTGCTGTAACCCATATTTTAACAATATACCTACTTTATCCATCCTATTTTAAATCTTGGTATTAAATATATTAATTTTTGAATCATCGATTCTCTTAAATGGATCAATAATTTTGATTGAAAAGGTGAAAAATGGTTTTACACCAGAACGTAGTTGTCAGGTTGACGATGACAATACATATTATTTCGAATTGAATACGATCAGAAATCATTTCAGGTACTCATCGGTTTTATTTATCTCTTTGCAATATCGATATACATATATATTTTTTAATCAGTTGATATTAAATTGTAATGGAGTAGGTTATCAATATTTTTTACAGCTGACAAGATCAACGTTGTTCCTGATCAGTGATTATAATAAAAATATTTCAACTTTCCCACGAACAGTAATCATTTTTAGCCTTCATCAATTTTATTTATCTATATGCTTTATTGATATATCGTGTGAGTTTTTTTTTATAAAAGCCATTGCCTTTTATTATTACACTGCCTATATTTTTGAAAAAGTAGGTATGGATCGGAACGTTATTTTTCATGTAATCTGGTGGTCCTATTGGAATTTTAATAAGTTGGCGCATTAAGCCGACCTGAAGATCAATTTTCGTAAAAATTGTAACGCCCTCTTTTCACAAATTTTAAAAGTCTTTTCCATTCTAAACAAATGATACCAGATACTGGAAAATTCGTCGATTCATTCTGGCGATACCTATTAAAGATTCTCTTCAGAACTCAATAAATTCAATTTATGGTGTAAATGGTTAAAAAAGGGAGAAAACTGAAGAGAATTTGAACATTTAATTTGTGTTGATTTATTTCAACTTAACTTTAAAAAACAACAATCAGTAACAGAATAAATTGAAGTTATCTAGTTCTTAAGGAAAACTTCAATATCGTTATATTTCTGAGTTTCAAGTATAATTTGTTTTAGAATGAAAAGTATTTTCAAAATGTGTGAAAAATTCATTCTCAAAAACTGATCTGTTCGTTCTGGAGATCCTATTGAAGTCTCCCTTCAGAACTCGATAAATCAGTTTATCGGGTACATGGTTCAAAAAAGAAGAAAATTTAGTTGAAGAGAATTTGAACATTTAGTTTGGATTGATTTATTTAAATCTAACTTTAGACCATCAGTTATAGAATAAATCGAAATTATCTAGTTCTTACGGAAGGATCATTGCTTCTGATAAGCGATATTAATAATCATATTTCAAATTGTAAATGAACAGTAATCATTCATACTGTATTACATACTTTAATATCGTTAAATTTTTCAGTTTCAGGTATCATTTTTTAGAATGAAAAGTGCTCTCAAAATGTGTGAAAAAAGTCATTCTCAAAAATTAATCTATTCGTTATGGAGATATTGAAGTTTTCCTTCAGACTTAATAATTTCAATTTATTGTGTAACTGGTTAAAAAAGGAGAAAATGGAACATTCGTTTGAATAAAATATGAAAATTTCATTTGCTTTGATTTTTTAAACATTTAACTTTAAACAACAACTATTATTTGAAGATCGTGAGGTGCGGTCTGGTGTGACGTAGGTTTTAGAAAAACATTTGCTTTATCATGCCGACGTTCGATTTTTATTGAGATCATCTTCAGGGCTCAAGGGTTTGTTTTCCGTGTAATAATTGTTGTTCTCAATAAAGATTGAAACGTTGGCATGACAAAGAAAATGTTTTTCTAAAACTACGTCAAAACAGACCGCACCTCACGATCTCCAAATAATCATTGGCGAACGGTCATAAACACCACACATTTAAACAACAATACTCAATTAGACGATAAATTAAAATGATCGATTACTGAATGAAAACTTCAATATCTCCATAACAAATCGATGAATATGAGTTTATGGTTTTCATTTGTTAAAACGGAAATGAGTTTTTTTAATATTCGTCCTCGAAAATTCATAGAATTCGAATATTTACATTCAAGACAATTTGTGGGGATCAACTTTTGAAAAAATTGTTTACGTTACCAATTTCTATTGTAACAAAATTGTTTCCAGACACTCAGAAATTCATTAATTTACTCTGGAGATATTGAAGTTTTCATTCAGTAATCGATCTTTTCAGTTTATGTTTATAAAAGAAAGGACTTTGAAAATACGTGAAAAAATAAAGCATTGCACTTAACTGGTTAAAAAAATAGAGAAAATTGAAATGATCTAGTTTGGAAAGAAAATTTCATCTACCGAAGGAAAGATGAATTTTAGAGTGCCTGGTATAATTGTTTTCAGAATGGTAAGTTCTTTCAAAATTAGAATAACTAAAACGTTGGACAGCTAGTTTTTCCCATTTGTAAAAATATCACTTCCACCCAATGCAATTCAATCTAGATACGCATTTATTTTTAAAGAGACTCTTTACTTTCTGCACAAGCATCAAATCCAAAAATTTTACAGCTTTACAGCAATTATTCAATGTCAGTTAGTTGTTCAAAACGAAGCAAAAACGTTTTGGTAGCATTTTCTCACAATCCGTTAGGTCAGTTACAACCAATCTTTGGCATAATTCAAATTCGGGGTTAGAAATGTTTAAATATGGTGATATGTTAATGTTAGGCAACAACCTAAAGTTGTGGCAAAAATTTTTACCTACTGGCAAACAAATTTTATATTTTAGCTCGAAGATATTTTTGGAAACGGTTCGCTCGATATAATTGTTTTCTATTATTCCTCTTTAAAATGAAAAAGGAATCGTTTCAATATGTTGAAGAGGTTTGGAAGAAAGTGTACCGAAGGGTGAAAAAGAGGTAGCGACCGTTTGTTGGACGAACAGCTGGTTTTTCCTATTTTTTCAAAAGGAAGGACTTTGAAAATACGTGAAAAACAAAACATTTTCCAACTTCCCATCTCAACCCCACCTTTTGAATTTTCCCTCCTTTTTGCCATTTTTCACGAGGTTGGTGTCCGAGTGGATCGAGGTCACGATAGCTCAAGTGGTAGAGCAGCGGCGTATCTAGCCGAAAATCGTGGGTTCGAATCCCGCTCGTGCCATTGACTTTTTTATCTCAACTAAAAACCTTAATTAATTGTAATATATTAATTGGTCAAGCGGACCACGAAATTAGTGAATTTAATAAAGCATTGCACTTAACTGGTTAAAAAATAGAGAAAATTGAAATGATCTAGTTTGGAAAGAAAATTTCATCTACCGAACGAAAGATGAATTTTAGAGTGCTTGGTATAATTGTTTTTAGAATGGAAAGTTCTTTCAGAATTGGAAAAACTAAAACGTTGATCACCAGGCCGGCTTATTGCGCCAACTTATCAAAATTATAATACTATTCTACGTGAAAAAAATATTTTTGGAACCATATTTAGTTTGCAATAAAATAATGCCACGTGCGTTGTAAAAACTAACACCGCTATGTACCATATTTTGACCGGTTGTTATAAAATTTTCATTTAGTAAACTGAACTATTATTACTGCAGAAAGGATCATTGCTTCCGATAAGCGATATTAATAATTATATTTCATACTGTAAATGAACAGTAATCATTTATAGCAAATTTATTTATCTGTGTACTGTATTACATACTTTAACAATCCACGTATTTCTCTTGTTTATGTTATATTTAGATGTAACCGTTTAAAAACATTGTTTTACACTTGTCAATCGTCAATGCTTTCCTTCTTGCAATCATTTGGGGCCCTTATTAGCTTTATTATTCTGTATGCTATTCCGTGCCTTAATAGTCGATATATTTTCACCAGTTTGTATTAAATTTTTAATATTTTTTTAAAATCTTTTTTTCTAGAGACAGGATAGGTAATCGTACAGTCGTAAATAATTAACGTAAAGCTCTTACAACCGCAGGAACTATTTGCATCACTCGTCGGCTTGATATATGTGCAGTATTCCGATTTTATTAAAATATCTTCTGAGGATCTCTTTTGTGGCGAGCTGTGGAATAGGTTTTCGAAAAATTCC